CGGCGACTTCGGTTTTAAACGGCCCCTCCCCAAAGCAGGTAGCGCCTTTTCGGTGGCTGTTGCTGCGCCGAATCGAGCGCCGCTTTCCTGCTTGCTGGGAGAGGGGTGGTGCGGGAGGGATGTGCCCGCTTAACCGGGAGGCTTTGCAACCTTCAGAGCACCTGGAGCAATTTCGGTGCGGGGCAGAGTACAGCGTTAGCTCCTTAGAAACCCAGAAAGGTTGCTGCCGTGTATGTGTGAGGAGGTTTAATCAGGCGGCTCAAGCTGCAGCAAGCATTTAGGAGGACCAAGGTAGTGGTGGCAGAGAGCAAAGACCCATCTGTTGTTTCACTATTTATTAATTCCTCCGCCGCTCCCCCCCCCCCCTTTTAAATCCAGGGACCATTCACGCCTCTTGCAAATGAGACTTGGGAGATGCTGAGAGAACAGCGTGTTGCATGGCGCGTATGTGTATGCATTCATGCGCGGGGGTAGGATACCCAGTTCTCAGCATTTGCCTGTGATCAGAAGAAAACAGGATGTGCCCGTAGCTGGAGGAGTGACAATGCTAGCCGAGTGGGGCTCACCTGCTGGTGATCTTTGCAGAGGCATTTGAGGATTATTCAGCTCCAGAACGTCTGTGCAAGGAATGCTATCTTCTCTGTGGCTGAAAATAGGAGGAGGTGCCTACCCCTATCCGCCTTGATTATTACCACCAAAAGGACCGATTTGCCTCCACCGTAGGAAGAGGAGATTGCTACCACGGACAAGGTAATGCTGCGGGAGGGGTGGGGGGGGGAAGGGAATTTATCTGCCTCGAGTTGCCAACAGAAACCCTGTGGATGAAACAGGAACACTTTCTCCCCTCCCTCCCTCCTGCTATTGCTCCGTGCCCTGGTTGCCGGAGGACGAGCACGGCTTCTGTGGGGAAAGCGAGCCCATTGGTGAGGCTCACCTCCAGGGGCTGCTGGGGCATTGGCGGGTCGGGGCACCGGGCAATCCCCATCCCCAGGGGCTCGGTATGTGTGTGTGTGTGTGTGTGTGTGGAGGGGGCAGAATTGGGGTACTGCAATATCTGCTTTGATGTTTTTTTGTGATATAGCCCTTATGATCACGAGCAGAGATTTGCCTTGCTGAGAAGGGAGAATGGAAAGGGGATGTATTTGTTTTCCAGAGAACAGCCAGGCTTAGCTCAGCCATAGACTTTCCTGTGTGACCTTGGGACAAATCACTTTGGCTCTGCTTGGCAAGTCCCGTCTGTTCCTTATTTAATAATCGGAGCTAACGTCTCCGTGTGTAATCATGATTCATGAAGGGTTGAGAGGGGCTTTGATACCAGTAGTCGAGCAGGGAGGCAGAAACCTAAGAAGCAGTATGTGTGCGCACATATAAGTATGCACGTATAGCCATACAGCTATAGCAGCACAGGTAGCTATGCCGGGAGTCAACCTTTTTTCCTATAACACCCAGTTCTATCTGCCTAATGTGATGATATAAAAGTGGTCTGGCATGGCAACTGTGACCATTATGGCAATTTCACCACTGAAAGATGGTCGACTTTTTTTTAATTTTTT